CCATTGATTTTTAGAGAGAGTGGGAGGGTGAGAAACAGAGAGACACATCGATGTGAGACACATCCCCTGGTTACTCCCTGCAGGGGCCCCGACCAGGTCCAGGATGGAGCCTGCACCCGAGGTACGTGCCCTTTACCAGAATCAAACCCGGGACCCTTCAGTCCTCAGGCGGATGCTCTAGCCACTGAGCCACACCGGCCAGGGAGAAAGCGCCTGCTTCTGAGGGCGGTGTGGCCAGGTCCGCCCCGATGGCGCCTGTCTTGAGGCGGGCGCGCTGTGCACACTGCCGCCCGCAGTCGGGCCGGACCCAGCATATTCAGGGGCCGGAGGCGGGGGTGTGGAACCAGATGCCCACCCGAGACCTTGGCTCTCTGGGGGAGAAAACCTGGCCCTGCAGGCTGTCTGATGGGCATGGCGTGTCTGTGGCTCATCCCATCAGAGTCCTCCCGCTCAGCACCTGCGGGGGGTCAGGCTCCAGCCTGCCCAGCAGCACCATCCCCTCTCCTCCCCACGGCCCTGTGTGCAATGCCCCTGCCTGTCTCATCTGGAGGGCAGGAAACCGGGCACAGAGAGGCCAAGACACCGGCCAAGGTCACACAGCTACGGGGTGGCGCCGTGGGGTCAGGGGCGGCCGGTGCACCCCACCACCCTGCTGACCTTCGTCCTCCTTAAATACACAGAGAGCGATGAGTCATCATAAGCCACATCTAATCCTTAAAAGCTGCTCCTCAGCGGAGGGGTGGGGGTGGAGGGGGCACAGGTATGGGGCCTCCTCTGGGGGTAATGACAGCGCTGGAATGAGACAGCCGCCCGCGTGGCGTAGCATTGGCCCTGGAGTTTGGCTCTGGCTCCTGCCCTGGAAGGAAGCGGAGCCGCCAAGCTCCCCCCGAAGGACCTCGGCTCCGTCCTTCTCGCCACCACAGGCGTCTTATTGCCACGAAGTCCACCGTGCTCCTTTGCTGACCCCTGGTTCCCGAGGGGAACCACCCTGGGGCCCCCCAATCACACAGCCCCGGGAGCCCGGTGCCCCCTGCACACAGGCACCTGCCCCCTGGGC